GCAAAAGAGGAAAAGTCAGATTATCATTAAGTTTATACAAATTGGGAACAAATGGGCCACTACTGCAGACACGGATCTTCTCTCTGTAAACACATTTTATCAAAATCCAGACATGAAGTGATTCTCTCTTTCTTTTTTTACCACTGTGTATTTCCTAAATTTGTTTTTGGGAATCAAGGACATTGCAGTCAATTTATTGAGACAGGGCACCCATTGAAATTCAATGCAGAATAACTGCATCGGTTTCCACTTATAAACTTACTTGATTTTGTAGGTAGGAAACTTGCAGCTCGTGCAGAAACATGGCCTGTAGAGGGTAACATAGGGGAGTTTTAAGGAGTAAAACTGCCAGACCACTCAGATATAAACCAGGATTCTAAAACACAACATTGTTGCGGACTAATATTTTTGTAACATACGAGTTGACATGCGTCCTAATAATGTGATAAAATTGTTGAATTCTACTTTCTCTCTAATCTTCTTGTTTTTTCTTTTTCAAACATAAGCTATAGTGAATTCTAATGTGCAAATACATGCTGAATATTGAAGAGCACAACATGTACAGAATTAGGCAGTAAATATTTTAGTCCACATGGTTTTGGTTCAATCAACTCACTGGAACAGCTGGAATGAAGGCCAGTGCGTAGATTTGGGATATTCTGAAAGGGTTGCAAATATAAACATTTATTTAGTAGAGCAAACACACAAACAATAATTCACGGTTTGCCCAGACATACCCCCTCTGCCTGCTTTGTTGATTTAATTCATCAATATTAAATGAAAAATAAAATCTAACTACAAATACTGAAAGTCAAATGCCACAGTTGCAACCTCAGACATTTAAAAGACACACTTACCTGTAATAATACACTAAGATGCACTGTCAATATGAACAATCACGGCACTAAACCAAAGGGTGTCCCTTCTCAAACTAACATTTTGTCATCAATCGAGCATTCATAAACCAGGGATTTACCTCGCCACCTCAGTGTCTTGGTGTAACATGAGCAGCAAGTTGTGAGTATTGATGAGAAGAGCCCAACAGGGCAAACAAAACAACAGCAAGATCAATGAACTCCGTTGAAGGATTACTCCCACACGTCTCATGTTCCTACCGCCGTACGTCTGCAAAACACAAATGAGACAAAACAGAAGTCAATCTGCTTGTATAGGTTGAAAATAAACTAAATAGCAGACAATGCAAATTAGAATTAGTAATTAAAACATTATAATAGTGTATGTGGTTGGCTCACCTGAGAAATGAGTGTGTCACAGGCCAGGGCGAGGCCACAGCCCGTTGAAACTGTGGTCGTGTTGATGATCTGAAAGGTAAAAGGTAAAAAACATAAAAACTCCAAAAGTTTGAGTTTGACTTTAGTTATAGAAATATTACTGTTGAAATGTTTTTGGGTAATTGTCGTTTTTTGTTGATGTTCATAACTCTCGGCAATATGTGCATTATTGTATTTCCAAAACAGAATTCAATATTTAGCAAACCAAAGAGAGACTATACTAATGCTGATGTTGTGATCTCTCACATCAACAATGTGTCACTTAATTAGATATCTTATTACTCTCAATGCTATCAACCTCAATGAAATGACCTCCTTTACCTAAAAACTAAAGTTTTAAAAATTGTCAAATCGTCCATGTTGATTTGTTAGCAGGGTGTGTAAACTAGTTTTTTTTTATCTCCGCCAGGCGTAAACCTGGGGAGAGGTTAAATGTTTTCCTTCCTGCCGCAGCAGTTTGCATAATATATTTTGGGTGGCAGGTTGTGGCTGCTTGCTCAAGGACCTCTCGTCGGTGCCTTTTCAAAACACCTTTTATTTCCTGTTTTGTGCTGCCATTGACTGCATGCTGACTCCCCACTGACTGCTCTTAAGCAGCCGCTAGTGATAACACAGCTGAGCGCACCGTCGACCTCCAGCCGCTACACTGCGGCTAGATACACAGTGGGGGGGGGGGACAGTTGGCACGGTGCTATTTTGGGGGGGACTGTGTGTTCAGCTAACAGCTAACGGGACTGCCAGTGCACACACTGCTTACTTCTATTGAAAAACCTGTTTTTTACCCTCGTTTTACACTACTTTACTCTTACACTACTCAAGTCAATAGGTTTTTGAATAGTTTTTGTTTTGGACCCTGAAATAAAGTTAATTTTACGTTTTACATTCTAAAACATAGAAGGTTTGAAGTCTCTGCAAAAAGGTGGTTGCGAGCAAATGGCTAAATGAGCCTACGAAACATCCTCACGCAGACTAGTCTGCACTATAAGGGTTGCCCATGTGACATAGCAGGTGTTGATGTGATGTAAATATATGTAATTGTATGTTATGAAACTCTACAATAATGCCAAATATATTTGGGGGCAATACCATTATCAGTATTTTTAAGTATACAAAATGATCATCCCACACAGAAAATATGTATGACATTCTAATTGGGATTAGAGAAAAGTACTGTCAGTACAGAGTAACAGCAGAATTAGTACATTAAGTAATAATAAGTGGAGTTAAAATAGTACCGCTGAGGCGAGGGCATATCCAGCCAGTTCTGAATTGCCAATGTGCCCACAGAATATGCTGATAACAAATGGCAGGAGGAAGTTCAGAATCCGAGACACCACCTGTAGAGAAAAACAACATATTTGATTTCCAAACAGAATCTGTCAGGTGCAAATGATGAAATAAATGATTGCTATTAGCTGGCCCCAAACAGCTAATAGCAACTCTGCAAAGAACGTTGACGTTGTTAAATCAAAAAGTTTAGACAGGTTCCCGCCCTTAAACATTTTGGGCTGCCATGTCATTTCATTTGCCTATTGTAGGAATTCAAGACTGGTTATTGATTGCATTGTTCAATTTTGGTCTGTAACAGTACACATTTAACTGCACATATCAAGAGTGATGCTCAACCAATTGACTGAGGTCCAATGGTCAATCTAACAAGACTGCTGTGACTTTGCATTGCAGTTTCATGTGTTAAGTAATTTTAGGAGGTTTTAACTGACTATGAATGACTGTCAATTAATACTTGGACCTGCATGGATAAACAGGAATATACACAAGATAATTGGCCATATCTATTTAGTGATTCTTAATGCTTGTCTTTGCTTCCAGCCGCTCAAATTTGGTATCACGGAGGTTCACCAGAAAATCCTTCATCTCACACTTAAGACGAGGCCTTAGGTGTGAGATGAAGATGAGGGAGCCACGCTTTCCTGAACATCAGTTCTGTTACGTGCAAAAATTCTGAACAATAGGTTTTTTCCATGTAAAGAATATATTTGTACAAACAATACCAGGTAACAATATAATCTCCCCAAACCATTTATGGGACTTCATCAGGTGGAGTAAAAGTAATGTGATAAACCATCAACATGTTTGATTTGGATTCAGTATTGATGGCTAAAGGAAGGGAGAATATTCATGTTTTTTATTACAGCTGACAGAAGCGTAGAACGTATTTAAATGCCAGTTTTTCTCCTTTTTCATCTTGTCAGGTTTTTTGCTGTTATTTATTTGGGATGGTGGTCTTCACCAGTTGGTCTTCACTTATAATTCATTAAGAACCCCTGACATAGCAATCCACACTCCCCACAATCCATCGCCACTTCCTGCTGACACTTCAACTTTCCCCTACTCACCAGTGGACCTGTGAGCCGCAAGACTTGGTAGAGTTCCTCTCTGTAGACCAGTGGTACCCGACGCCTCACCCAAGCACACCGAAAAAGTTTGGAGCTGACTGCAGCCACGGCTGCGTCGTTTCCCTCGGGCCCCGTCGTCTTGGCAAGTGAGACCCCATCAAGGGGCCCTGCACCTGGCAAAGGGTGCGCTGGGTCCGGGGAACCCAGCTTCTCCATTCAAACACAGAACAAGAAGTGAGAAAAGCAAAGGGACCAGGGAGGGGGAGAGAGGGAGAGTGTAGTGGGAAAAGAGTGAGTGGGGAGAGAGGCAGTAGATCTAACTAGGTTTAGAATTACATCACATACACTTCTATAAAGTTATTGATTAATATGTTGTTTGAAGGAGAGAGGTGAAAGGCTAAAGGGCGAACAAGAAAACAGCAGGGCTGCTGAATGTATCTCAGGAAGGAGGGAATGCAGTGTGTCTCAGTATTTGAAGTGTGTTTGTATGTGTGTGTAATGTGTGTGTCGGCTCACTAGTAATCTGATGAAGAATGCTTGTTTGCACGGAGAACACAGACGCTCTGATAGCATAAACTCTGCAAGCGTTGATTAATATTTAAGGACAGCAATGCCGTTTTTTGTTAACAGCTGATGTTATCTGCAAATGTACTTTGACCTCTCACTTTGTCCCTGGAGTCGGCCTCCTCATGTACTTGTTACACACACACACTCAGTCAATTGGGTGAACATACATGCCCTCATCATTTTTATCTTATCAGAGCTCTCCGACTTCAACACTTTATTCGCCAGGTTTCTTTAACTTATGCACACAATTGATATGCAACATCTGTAAAAACAGCTGGGCAATAGCGGTCACAAGCACAGCTACCTCACACATTACAGCTGAGATTGTGTGTATGGCGAAAACAAGCGATCCCTGCATGAGCCCATTCTTTCCCCTATTGCGTATGTTGAAATTGCAACAAACTTACTCTTTGATCTGACGATATAGATTTTTTAAGCAAGTATCACGTGTGGCCAAAAACGATGCATTAAAATTCACTATTTCAAATGCAAATACATGAGCAAAGAGATTGGAGGTTTGAGGAGGTTCTGCGCTAACTAAGGTTATGTTAGTACACACAGACACATATATATATTTATAATACGGGTACATGAAATCCAGCGTTCTGATTGGTTGAGAGTGAGTCACGGGAGGCGCATTATTAAAGCAATAAGGTACGAGAGGCTGTACTTTGTCGTCCAAAAAGGTAACAGTTCGGGGGTCTTGTAAGGCCAGACGCGCAGTAGGGGGCCGGCAACCCTCGAGTGTGATAGAAATTTTGCACAAGTGATGACCAAATCAAGATACTGTATATCGTTTTTTATTTTAGAAAAAGTTGTACATTGTAGGTTTTGTAGGTCTCCTACTTGCATCTGAAGCTTTTCCAGCTGGTCGGTGCCTCTAGTGGGTAACAGAGGGAGGACTGTTGGAACCATCATGAGAACACCGGCCTTAGTAAATACGGCTACTTTGAAAGTATTGAAAGCTATAAATTACTTCTAAAAGGAAGATATTGAACTGCAACAAAGCAAACCGTTATTTGGTAATTAGGTAAGCTAAAGCTAACTTAAAAAGGTTTATTGAAATAAAAATAGAGTACTTAAACAAATATAAAATATATAATTGACAAAATATATTATAAAGCTATAATAAATGATTACATAACAATGTCAACTTTAACTTCAACATTAACAAAAAAATACAAAAGAATGTTTGACTTCAAAAATTGGCCTGTTCATCAATTTTGTAACATTACAGTCTCAATCACTGAAACAGTTTTGGTCCTCTGAACATAATGATGCTGTCGCTCTCCAAACACCACAACAGAATAAGCCTTTTACACATGCATGCTCCACACAAAGGTGAAAGGTCACGTGTGTGGATGTGTGCGTTGGTTGGTGGCTGGCTGACAAATGCATCAAAAGGGATAGAAGTTGACATCATCAATTAAGTTCATATGGCAAACTTGTTGGAATTATTAATGATTTGAAGTCACCTGGCTAATGTGAATTCAATATTCAACCCCTTTAAACTCATCCTTTCCAACAGGGGTCCTTGGTAGGTGGCAGCAAAGAAAGAAAGATTCATGATTTTAGTCAGGCGGGTTATTAAGTGGCTTGTAATTCCAGTTTGGCATCTCTGTAACATCCTGTTATGGACCTAGATGTCTACGTTCAGACGTCAAAGAACGCTCAGCGGCTTGGGGTCAGGTCCTGTGGAGTCAGTGTTGTGGGACTTGAGTCATTAGTCCAGTTCTGGGTAAAGTTGGTCCTGCTCTGGATGGAGGGCTCTTGTACGGGGAACGCGACGTGAAAAGCGACACCTGTGACCAAAACCAGAGCTGAAACCAAGAAGATCAGTCCGCGGCGCCAGATCAGCTCAGAGACAGAAAGCGGCGCTGAAGGTTTGGTGTTTGAGGTCTTTTGGGTCCCTTTGTCTTCCCCCACAGGTCGTCCTGTATTTGTGTCGTCGGCCTCAGCCTCGTGTCCACCTTTCAGCTCCTGATCCTGGGTGCTGACTGGACCGTAGCCCCCCGCTGCAGGAGCTCTTTCACCGTCCAACTGGGCCTTCAGGGTGCACAGATTCTGCTGTCAATCATTATGTAAATGACAAACCCTGACAAGGCAGAAACTCCCATTTACTATTTATTATGCACTTACTTCATCAGGACAGGAAGAGATGTCCATCACCATCCCTTCACTCAGCTCTGTACTAACAGGGCGCTTTGGTATCAACGTAACTTTCTTTCCAGCTCGCCGTTGAGCCTGAAAACATGATGAGGTTAATGTGAGTCATACATATATTTATTTATTTATGTATATACATTTATATATATATACATATATACATGAATTAGCTATTCCAAATAATAATACTCACCCTCATTCCTTTCTGGAACAGTTTGTTTACCATTCATTGCTTTAACAAAAGATAAGAGCATCCTACCTTTAATGTGACTTTCTTCCAGTCTAGTTTGAAGATTAGAATGAGGAAGAAACCCGTCTCCAAGACAACACATGTTAAGATACCGAGCCACAAACCTAATTAGAGACACAAAAGAAGGTTTAGAGAATAAAGATCTACTTTGTGTTCACTTCATACATTGACATAAGAACATTCTGTAACAAGAAAACTACCAATATACTTAATGTTTATGAGAAAACGACTAAGACGCAGCCACACTAACAGCTATTGGACAAATTCAAAGGTTGACCTGATGATGGTGCTAGATGAAAAGCCCCTGGTGGGCCGCGAAGGTACTGCAGGTGGGCCGCGAGAGGTCATTTACTATAAATAAATACAGTTTTTTAAATTTTACATTTTTAAAAGTTTGAAATTAATATAAAAATATTAATGATGCGGCACATTGGGTATGTGAAACATTAGTTGATGAAGCACAAACAATTTAAACAGACAGATTAATAAAATAAAAAGGCTCTTGCTCGAAACGGCTGCTCTTGTCCGCCTGTCGTTGTTCAACAAAAGGGGCGTCCTCTTGCAGTATTAAAGTAAATATACCGCATTTTCCGCACTCCAAGGCGCACTTAAAAGGCTTTAATTTTCTCAAAAACGACAGTGCCTTTATAATCCGGAGCGCCTTATATATATGGATCAATTAGTTAATCGGTTGTACAAGGCGCTCTGCCAAACATGACAAAGCTCTGTCTACGATGGCGAGATGCTGAGCGGTGCTCAAGCGCGTGAGATATGGAGCTTGTTTCAGGGCGCGTCGGAGAAACAAAGCTGTCGTTCTTGCCGAGCACTTTAAAGAGCGAGAGACGGTGCCCTTTTCTTTACAGTAGCTGAACCATCTTAACGGGGAAAATAAGTTATTCTAAAAGCAGCCAAAGATTTAAGGTGTGGATGGCGAGGGGACGGTGGGAGCGGACGCACCTCGCAGCATCGATCGGACCCTGAAACCACGCAAGCAAATACCTCGCGCGAGACGGACTTTTGCTCGCGGATGTTTGATTTTGGTTAAATTCCTAAGGTAATTTAATCATTATGTTTTGAACAGAGTTGTGATTAAAGGTTTGGGTCGTGGCATTCTTGAGTTTGGGAACCGCTGCATTAAAGCATTTCATCTAAAGCCATCATTGTTTGTACCAAATTTCCTGACACTAAATAACGCACTGACTTAAAAGAGCAGAAGGGTTATTTGAGACATTGTGCTCTGAACTACAAACATACTGCATATTAAATTAGAGCCACCCTCATACGATCATTAGACTCTGACGTATTGTGGTAGAAACAGAATAAATTAAATCTAACCTCAAATATTCAGGTAAAATGTATTTCTAAATTGAGGACTCAAGTTAAAGCCTTAGTTTGCTGTCCAAGTAAATGGAAGTGACTCACTGATCACTGACTATGGACTATGGATTCAATTTGATCAAGTTCTTTCTTTTTAAAACACAACCAAGTCTGTTTCCAGGTCTTGAGGAGTAAAATACATTGTGGAAGTTATAAGTTATGTAAATCATTATGAATAGCCTTAAATTATGACTTGAATCTGTGGCTGTCAGGGTCAGGCCTCCGGGTATGAAAAGTGAAGCCAGTGTGGAAGAAAATGTTTCGCATGTCTAAAGCGCTAGTTTCAAGTCTTCTTCAGTACAAAATTGTATTAATTTGGAAAATGGTTGTCCCATTTAGAGTAAAAGAGATTATAAAGCATGCCTTAGGGTGTGACAAATTTGTTATACGTTGCTACTACGTCGTTGTCTGATTTTCGAATTAGAATTGTGCCCTTTTTCAGTTCATGAAATTAACTTTTTTAATTTTTTTAAGAGTTTTGTTAGCTCAAAAATGTCCTGGTACGCGTCAGTTTAACTTAACTCCAGCTTATTGTGTCACTTCTGGTGGCAGAGAAACATGATGGCCGTGGCTGTAATGTTGAACTAAAGGCCAGTTCGTTAAGTGTTATGTCACAGTAGGAAGGAGTTATTTGACAATGACGAAGAATAAAGGAATTTGCGGATCTATTTTGTTGATTTTTCATCATTATTATTTTCTAGTCCAACAGGATTGCCATGCTGGGACCTCAGAGCCAAAAAGGAGCCAAGATATTCATAACTTGTTTGCAGAAACATACAATAGGAATGAATTACGAACATTACCTAATATTCTGAGCTTAGCAGCAAACATAAGAGCTATTCCCACTGGTAGACCGATGAAGTAGTAAGACACCAGGTTGGACAAGGCAGCAATTTTCTGCATTCCAGATCCGATAAGAATGCCTGAGCAGACACACTGAAAACATACACGCATAGAAACAATTGAAAAGGGGCTGCATACTCGTCAACAGAAGCTCAATGAAAAGAAAAGAAGAACGTTTATTCTGTTCCGTTATAACGTACCAGAAGATCATCAAAGAACTGCACAAACGTGTAGACTGTGAGGTTATCTGAGACAATCCCCACAATTTCTCTGCAGACAGTAAAAGAAGATCATCAAAATAAAACATAGTTGTCGTTACAAAGTGCAGGAACGAAGGTGTGTTCGTTTAAGACTCACTCATCAGATGTAAATATGTAGCCAACGACAGACTTACAGCCAGCGAGGATACAACCCTGGAACACAGCAAGCACTCCTGCAGGAAGACGTGACACAAAAGATAACATTTGACAGGATGTGTGATTCACAAAATAACAAACAGCTTTGAAATATACGTTGCATGAATCTCACAAAAAGTATATTTTTGCATGTGTTCTTAAACAATAAAAAAAAATGAACCTGCCAACCAATCAGAATCCAGAATTCTCTGTGTGCACGGTTTGGATTGTAGTAATTTCATGTTTGTGTTCATAAGTATAGGTTTTCATACCTGACAGAACCAGCACTACTTTGCAAGTGACTATGGCCCTGGTAGTGTTCCCGGCACCCAGAGCATTCCCAACACGCACACAGGCAGCTCCATGGACACCCAGGGGGAACTGCAAGGACCCCGAGTTGATTTTTGATGTTACAATGAGTTACGCAGTTTTGGGGAACAAACGCATTCTACATTATACTGGTTTTAATTCTACACTAAAGTAAATCGCCTTGTGGATGTTGATCCTTACTTGACATACAGACTTTTCATCTATGGTAAATTAGATAATTTCCCAACATGCTGAGTTATTGTTAAATACTAAAATGCAGATAAATGTCCCATTGAACTCATTGAATGATGAATACCATAAATATTATAGCTCCTATTTCCAACAACACATGCTGGGCCGCCAGATCCACCTCTCCCAGTAGACCTAAGAGGATAAAGGTCAGATTCAGACATTTTCAAAGACGGGAAACTGCACACAGTCTGCTGCTGTTTTATTAATCCATCAAAGCATATGACAAAGAGAAAGGATCTATTTGGGCATTTTTTTTCTTCATATAATTCATATTTTTGATTATTGTTTCAATGTCCAACACCTTAATTGTATTTTTGTCTTAAGTGATTAATTCAAAATTAGACACTTTCTCTCTAGCAGGTTTAAAGTAAATCAATTGAATAAAATGTGTTTCTAAAAAAATCTGTCCATTAACAGATTAACATCAAAATAAACACTCAAAAGGGCATTAAATCTTTTTCAGTACTGACCAGCAAGGAAACCTCCAACCTCCCAGATCCACCATTCAAACCAGATCATGCAGGTACTAGGAATAGCCAGCTTCATATAGGAGCCCCACTCCTGCAGACAGTCGGTGGACCAGCCTGCAGAAGGTTTAACACAGAAGGATTGTACTCAATGGGCCTGTAGTGGGGGACAGATTTCTGATGCAGATTTCTGAACACAACTGCTTTTGTGCATCATTTGCCTTTTCATCCAGTCATGTATCAGCAGAAATGCAGATTTTGACATTTAATACTTTAATACATTTAATACTGTGTGTATAACTCACCTCCCCATGTCTCCTGATGGAGCTTCTTCCATCGGATGTAGCCAAACAGCAGCAGGCAGATGGAGATGTGAGAAAGGGCGTTAGCTAAAGCTGATCCACTGCAAACACACATGATAGAACATATTTAAATAATATTGAAAGAATGTCACGGTCTAATTTGACTCTATGTCTCTAGACGACTTACAGGACTCCCATCTCGAGGCTGTAGATTAAGAAGTAGTTGGCCCCCACATTAAAAACGTTTGCTGCGGCTGCTGTGTACAACTGAGGCATAA